CCTGCTGAATTTCATGCCATTGGCCTCAGCTCATTGACTCAGCCTGTCCAGGCCCCCCTGCAGCTTCTTCCCACCCTCCAGCAGATCAACATCCACCCCAGCTTGGTGTCATCTGCAAACTTACTATGATTGGACTCAATACCCACATCCAGGTCATCAATAAAGATGTCAATAAAGATTTTCCCTGATCTCTGTGTAAATCACTTCAACCCATTCCTGATTCAGTCTCCCCTATCCCTGTATAAATACACATCCAGGTGTAAGTTGCTCCAGTACAATTCCAACCCCCGCATGTCCCTTCCACACAGTAAGTAAAAGAATGAATGTTGTTGTTGAGTTCTGTTAAGTTGCACTTACATAAATCTATATTAAAATCACTTTTTCTTGAGGTCTTTGTCAGTGATTCTTCAAGTGACCTGAAGACCTTCCAGTCTCATCTTTGGCAACCTCCCAGCTTGCAACCTCCCAGTGAAAGTGAGGGGAGGAACACTGTCCTTGAAGCTGGTAACAGCACCTCAGAGGTACTGTCCATACATAGCCCATATGTCCTCACGGGTAGCAGGGCAAGTGGAGCACCCCAGAAGCTCTGGGTGCCCCAGGATAGGCACAGAGCAGTTCACAGGAGTCCCACCACCCACAGGCACTGGGCTGCCTTGGGGCATGGCCTGGGGACAGCAAGAGCTGCCCCTAAGCAGGGGGCAGAGCCAGGCATGGGGCAGGTGCAGAGGAGGGCTGGCTGCTGGTGGGGCTCAGGGGTGTGGAGGAGCAGAGGAAGGGCCAACACAGGCTCTGCCCCTCTGAGCCACGCCGGGGGACTCACCTGTGGTGAAAGCTGTACTTGGAGCTCTTGGTGTGAGGGATGGTCTTGCAGCCCAGGGTTGGGCAGCCCCCATGGGCAGAGGAAGCTGGTTCCTTTGGCCCTAAAGCAGGAGGAAATATAGGAGAGAGACTGTCATGGCTGCAGCCCTAGGCAGAGTGAGGTCCCTGGGCTCCCGGCCTGAGCCAAACAGGGAGAACTTTTCCAATCAACAACTCCACAGAAAAGCCCTTCTACCCTGCTCATCGTCAGCCAGAACCTGCCCACGCATTTCTGTGCATACAGATGGCAGTGACAGTGGGGATTTGGCACAGTTGGGCCATGGTATGAGAGAATGACCCAGGCACAGGACTTACTGAGAGGAGGCTGCAGTGGGTGTCCAGTTTTTGAGCACCAGCCAATGGGGTGGATGTCTGGATGATCCACATCAATCCAGAAATCATAGACATGGCTCCAGCCATCAAAATGGATCTAAGGAAACAAGTGGAGACGTCACCCTTCAAGCCTCGGAGCACTTCCCTGAGCAGCTCTGGAGCCCTCCAAGCTGACAACAAGCAGCAGGGTAGAGGTGAACTGCAGCACAAGGCTCTCCTCCACTCCTGGAGCCAGGCACTGGGACCAGCCATCCTCCACACAGTGTGCTTCCACAGGCCTCCATACACTTTGCCACTGCAGCTGGCAGCAAGTCAGGAAGGGCAGGAGCAAGCCAGCACAGTGCCTGGACACAGCATCAAGACTCCAGCACCCACCTTTATCCTGTGATCTTCCACGTCCTCCACACTGGCCACTCGGATGAATGAAGGAGTCCTCCTGTCCACTACCTCCAGCTTCATGTTGACCAGGAAGCCATGGGGTGGGCGCTGGGGCCAGGCAGCACCC